TTGCTTCCCCAGCACGTATCAACAAAACCTTTGAGATGCTTGTAGGCGTTTTGGTGTGGAGCTCCGGTGAAGAAACCCCTCTATTCCAAGAGTGTAAGCATGACATTGGTTATTTGAAAGTTGTCCTCCCTAATCCGGGGCGGGACTATTGCACTTGCATAGCCTTCGTTGGGCAACACCCGGTGTGCTGCCCTTGGAGGAGTTGGGGGAGGGTTTGGAATATTATCATGGGTGGTCGGCCCCTCCTTTGTGCTTGAGGTTCGGGTTGAATCTCATCCACGTGATCATCATCTACCTCCTCCCCCAATGGCAAATTTCCCAGGGCTTCATTGTTAAGAGCCATTTGGTACTAAGAGCAATTCACACACAAATTAGAAAAATGGAAGGAAAGAAAAACAAAATACACAAATACTCAGATATACAGCTAAAACTGTCTAACTCCTCGGCAACGGCGCCAAAAATTGATCGGGTCAAAGCCTGCACTACTATTGAGTAGCGAGGATGGTCGATGCAGTTTTACCTAACTAGGTCGGGATCGAATCCACAGGGAGTTAATTTGTTTGGAATTAGATTTATATCCAAGTCTAGATGCGGGTTTTGCTCTTAATTACACTTCCACAAATGGTTGGTTTGTTTTCTACTTCTACTTCAATTCTATAGCATGCAATATTTGAAACTAAGTATAATATTTTTGTTGTTGAGTTTCAAGGGTTTAAAGGGACTAGGGTAGTGACTTCCACCTAGGTGAATATCTAACGGGTAGCAAGAATCTAGGGCAATCATGTGATTAATTGGGATCGTAATATAGTTATCATACACGGATACTCACTCTATACCTCTCGGTAGTTTGAGTGATTTTGCCCAATTTGGCTTTCTCAAGTCCAAATAGGTATTCATGCAATACAAGTGATATTATCTCAAGTCAGGTATTACTATCCCTAGGTTTAACCCTTTAATTGGGGCTATCAATTTCTTGAGTTCACTCCAGTTCCTTGTTAGCCTAGTTTTCCTAGACTTACTCCCTCTTTCTCAAGTAGAGACTAAGTCATAAAGGCATGAATCAGTGTTTGCAACCACTAATTCCATAGTTCTAGCAAGAACTAGGCTAAATACTACTAACCCAACACATTCAAGCCCTAAAATTCAAGACCCATTAAATACCCACACTAGGGTTGGGTGACAACCCTAGCTATGAGTTTACTACTCATGGAAATAGCAAAAATCAAAGATGAAATAAAGATAAAATTCATAATACTAGATTAAAAGATGAAAATTTAATGTTGGAAGATAATTCTAGTACAAAATTGCCCAAAATGGAATTTCCAATCGTCTCACGTGCTCAGCAAAAACATAACTTAACCTTAAAATGTCAAAAAGATCTATTTATACTAAGCTGAAATTTCCAAACAAAAATGCCCCTGCGGAGGTTTCGCGGCCGCGTAATTCTCACCGCAGCCGCACTCTTGCTTTCGCGGCCGCGTAAATCTAACCGCGGTCCGCGCTTTTAACTTCTGGATCTGGGTTGAGCATTGTTTCGCGGGGCACGTAATTTGCATCATGGTCATGTAGGAGACTACCGCGGCCGCGTAATTCTACCGCGGACTGAACTCCTTGTTTTTGCTTGAAATGTGAACTCTCTGTACCTCAGCAACTGCGGTTCGCATAATTCCAATCGTGGCCCCGATGAGACTTTCGCGGCCGCACTTTTCTGGCGCGTTTGGTCGGAAATGCACTCTCTGAATTTCCCTTTCGCGGACCGCGTATTTGTGATCGCAGCCGCATTGTGGCTTCTGCGGCCGCACAATATTTGTGCGGTCCGCGTTTCAGGTCTCCTGGCCCAGTCTTGGTTTTTGTTCAAGTTTTGACTCCTTTATGAGTTGATTATGCCTCCTTTGGCTCATTTTGATCAATTCCTGCAAGCAAGCATATTACATTAGTTTCCGAAATACCTTCATCCATTTTAGGCCCAAAACGCAAGTAAAAGAGAGCAAATAATAGGTTAAAATCCCCACTTATCAAGGATGCCCAGTCGCGAATTCCCACAGTATGAGGTAAGACGCGAGTTACCTAGTCTTCGATATCAAGGACCAAGGAAGGGGGACGCCTACCAACTAAAAGAAGAAAGACCTGAGCAAGTTAGAAACAAAAAGAGGAGGGATAAATAAAATATATGATAGACGGTAAAGACACTTACGGTTGAAGTTCCACTGCTTGGGGAACCCGGCTGAGTCCGCCACAGCGTGCTCGGTTCTGACGAAGAAGTAATTGCACCAGAACCGGCAGTTCGCCTTGTCATCCATCCCCGTCACCAATCCTTTAGTCTCATAGTGGCGGAGATGAATCAGCGTTCCTCGGTAGAAGCTAGGCGAGAAGAGATGCAGCAGATGACGGATGGAGACTTCGCAGCCGGCAAACTCTACGAACTTCACCAGCATCAAAAAGACTTTATATAGGTAAGGGGAAAGCTATGCCGGGCAGACTCCATAAAAGTGGCAGAATTCCTCAGCTAGTGGGGGAACAGGAAGAGAGTAACCCACCAAAAATGGGTAGGCGTAGAAAGCGCAATACCCAAGCCGGTGAACTTGTATTGCATCGTTCCCCGCCGGAACAATATCGACGTGAGCGGGAATACGAAATTTAGACCGCATATCAGATATTTATTTCGACCCCATGACTAATAGTACCTGCTCAGGAGCAGAGGCAGGTTCTTTTGGGAAGTCATTTCTGACGGACGGGTTCCTAGGAACAATCTCTCCACGGTGGGAAAACTTTCATCTTTCGCAACCGTGGGTTCATCGCTACCGGAAGGTATGGCTACCGACAAAGGGGTGGCATCAGAAACTATGTCACAAGTGTGAGGGGAGTTTTTCATTTCTGCAGTAACGTGTATATAGTAGAGCCGGAAGAAGGGTATCAACGGGAAAAGAAACCGTAAGCTAGAGCTGAAAAGCAAAAGGAAATCGGAAGCAAGGGTTAGAGAAGAAGCAGAAGAACAAGCAAAGTGACAAAGGAATATGAAGTGCGAAAAGTTTCATTTTTGAATCTCCCTTCCCCTATTTATAAGGTATTGTGGCGCTCAGATCGATGCAAGAAACTGTCATTGACACTAAAATCGAAGCAACAGAAGCACTAGAAATGACGCATTGCATCGGGAAGATGCGTAATGATGACGCGCGTGGTCATGACGTCATCCTATGTTATCCATGCCAACCACAACCTTTGAGCCGATCCGTCATCAATGTGACGTTGACCAATTCAGCTCGTTCTCCACGACGGAATGTCTTGTGATTAGGTACAGATAAAATCCGCTCATCAAGGACTCCCAAGAGGACGACCTTAATAAGCGGAGGGACTAACTGTATGGGTCAAAATAAGGTCAAGTTTAGTGAATGTAGACGGATAAGCTGAGGCCGAGGTCGAAACCAAGCACGGTCCAGTGGCGAGGAGTCGCTCAAAGAGAGAGACCAGTGCCGAGGTCGAGTAGAGAACAAAAGGCTGCAACAGTTAGAATATTCCTAGGATTGTGAATAGGAATATTCCACTGAATATTCCCCCAAATTGTACTTTTTTAGGGTTTTGTAGGGATATCCCTTATAAATAGAAAGAGAGAGGAAACAAAAAGGGGGCTTCGGAACTTTTATGAAAGAACATCTTGTAAAGAGTTGACTATCAGGAATATACAAAAAGCTTGTCTTGTCTCCTCTGTTTGATTCCATTACAAAACATTCCTCTTTCATTCACAAGATCCAAGAACACGTTGTTTACTTCCGTAGTCTGCTGTCAAACGCTATAGTCAAAAGAAGGAATCATCCATCCCATTCAACATTTGGATGACAAATTCCATCTTATTACATTTAATGTCATTTATCACATTTATTGCATGTTTTCATTCTCATATTTATTAACATTCATTGAGCATTAACTTGACATTCGTTGACTTGAACATGGTCCCATACCCTCCAAGTTGTTGAACTTTAGATTCGGGATTTATTACTTTTAACTTGGATTCACCCTTTGTCTATTTATTAAATTGGTTTAACAAAAAGAGCTTAAAACTTTTTTGTCAAACAATATATATATATATATATATANATATATATATATATATATATATATATATATATATATATATATATATATATATATATATATACTCCCTCCATTTTAATTTATGTGAACCTATTTCCTTTTTAGTCCGTGCCGAAAAGAATGATCTATCTCCTTATTTGGAAACAATTTACCTTTATGCAATGATTTATAGCCACAGAAAAATATCTCTGCCTCATTTTACACCACAAGTTTAAAAGTCTTCTCTAGTTTCTTAAACTTCGTACCCAGTCAAAGGGGTTCACGTAAATTAAAACGGAGGGAGTATATGAATGTATGAATTAATACATACGAGTAAAATTAACTTTCTAAAAATTATTTTGATTGAGCTGTATGAATGAAATTATACATTTACTTGTAAAATGAGTAAGATTTTTCTTGTCAAATACAACTATATTTCCAAAACTAACCATCTTGCCTTACTTATTCTAGCTTTTCTATTTTCAGTACATATATTGTTGCATCTTATATGATCTACAACTACTACCAAACAGCTCGGGGGGGGGGGGGGGGGGGTTTATAAAGGGCTCCTAAGCCATAGCAAATTAAATTGTCCTTTTCCGTTGTAGGTCGGCATAAAATATTACTCTCTCCGGTTCACAATAAGTGTCCAATTTGCTTTTAACACGCCTATTAAGAAAATACTAAATTCTATATAAAAATACCTACTATGACTAAATTACCCCTAATTAAACATTTAATGTGAGGAGTAAGAAAACTTTTTAGGGATATGTACATAGGGGTTATTTTGTAAAAACAAATTGAATTCTTTCTTGATTACATAACTAGACACTTATTTTAAACCAAAATGTAAAAGCAAATTCGACACTTATTGTGAACCGGAGGGAGTACTAATACTAAAAGTAAAGCAACAAACTTTTAAAAGATTTCTCTTCGATCCAACAGCTGACAGCTCGATAAACTAAAATGTGAATAAAAATCACTTATTTCCTTACAACAATATGCACACAAAAATTAGCTGCTCATGAACATTAATTAAAAGGAACAAAAATAACAGCTGAACCCCACCAATAGTAATAATGAGCAAACTAAGAAAGGAATAAAATTAACAATAATAATACAAAGCACTGCCTCTCGCCTAGCACATAAACGCAAACATAGCTCCCAACACAACTGAAAATCCGACCACAGTTTTGCCCATAACTCCGGCTGCTCCGTTAGGTGTTACCGGTGTCGACTTCGACGGCGTGTTGCCAACCTCAGGCGTGGGTGTGGTGGGTGAGTCAGAAGGAGTTGAAGGAGTGGTTGAAGGAGTTGAAGGAGTTGACGGAGTTGACGGAGTGGAGGAGCTGTCTTTGACATCGACGGCTAACTTCATGCCAGATTGACAATGACCTAATGCGGAACAAGTGAAGTACATTGGACCGGCCTTGGAAAGTTTGATAGTGGTCTTGCCGCCGCTGTAAGACTCAAGGGCGTTTCCGGTGTTGCAATTTTCATAGTCATCTTTGCTTATTACATCAACGCTGTGGCTTTCACCGTAGTTGAACTCTGATCATCATCATCATCATGCAAATTCAAATTATTGTTTTGGTTTAGTTTAATAACATCAATAATTGAGAAATTAAACCTTGAGTTTCTTTGTTAATTATATTTAATTCTGTTAAGTTAAAGATATATAAGATGTTAAAAAAGAAACTACTATATCTTGTCAATTTTATGTAACTAGCCTATCTCTTCTCAAGTCTACTTTTGATATTTTCTGGTATAGATACAAAATTTGGTCTTCATGAAAGAGTATGGTGAAATGGTGAGAATCTTTTTATCGTTTAATTGAAATTTTAGGTTCACGAATATCAGCAATGAAGTACCTTTTACCCTTCATCGAGCCTATTCAGTACGAATCTGAATTAATCAGGACAATTGAGATAGATCATCTAGCATTCTAGGGGGAAAATTAATATTTCATGCTGCACATATTTAGTTGACTTTTCTTGGTAAAAATGTTTACTGAGTCTGGTCATAGAGATTTTGTGTCACACGACACAATATTAGGGATGTTGCAATTACCCTACGGTCCCCGTAAGCCGTAAGGTAAACTATTTTGCTTTTGGATTTTATATTATTTTCATGATAAAATTGCATTGTAATATTTGATTTTATATTAACCCAAAAGTATCTAGTTCAACTTCTATGAATGGAAAACATTTTAGTAAAGAATATTATATTGTCTAGCGCATATTCAAATTAGTCGGACCAATAAGTTTAGAATACTGAATAACTTAAGGGTAAAAAAAAGAAGTGGAAAGACTAACCAAGGGTGTCACCAACGTTGAAGGTTTCACCAGCTGCCCAAGTGGAGTAATCTCCGGTCTGGCTCCACCCGCCGCTGCCTCCAACGACGTGGTTGGCGGCAAAAGCCACCGGAGAAGCAACAAGAAGAAATAGAAGAGTTGCTACCGCTGACACTGCCATTACTTAATTAGATTTCTTTTCAAAGTTAATAAAAATTGAGTTGAAGAGTAAATAGAAGAGAGAAATTATGGTACACATTTAGCAAATGATGCTAGCCCTACTTATATAGAGAGTTTAAGGTTATGAAAACTTGGAATGTCATGTAGTTCAATGCTAGAAATTACCTTTAAAAATTTAAGAAATTCCAGACTTTGTATTGCTTGTGATAATATTAAACTGGGGATTTGGTGCCTCTACTTCCCATGTCTACCTAATTTATTAGGACATATTTGAATGTCTTTCTCTATCCTTTCGCTGACTTTACGGCGTCTAAGTGTCGTGGCATTACCCCTTCTTTTATCTTAACCTTGGAATTTAAGTTTTGCAACTTACTTGGCTTTCTCGCTACAAAATTGGCTTATTTTAGTCCAACAAATATTTGACTAATATATGGTTTAAGATTATTCTCTAGGACGAATCAAATCACAAAAGAATGCAGCAAATATGCATAAATCATAATTCATGTTTTCTTTTCACATAATTAACAGGGGAGTAAACAATGTGTTATCGGACAACATAAAGGGGTCACAATACAAAACAAATGAGCTGTGAGTTTAAATCTCAGTGGGTCCCTTTGGGTCAATATATATTTGATTCCAAAATAACAATACATATATGCCTAAATTGTACATTACATTTTAAAGTTTTTTATTAGTTCAAAATGTCTCGTAAGTTTTCTCTCAATTTTTTTCATAGAAGAAGTTAATTATCACCTATAAGAAACTAGTAATTTTAAGGAAATTAATCTTCTGTTAGATCAAGTTGAATTATGTGCTGCGACAAGTTTAAGGTTACTTGTAGTTGTTTGGTAACTTTTACTAAGAGGTGAATTCTTTAAATATGAAGGTTTGAAGAAGACAAAAATTCTTTAAACATGAAGCCACACCACTAACAATCCAATAGCTAGCTGTGGGTATTATTCACACCAGAGACTTTCATAATTTGAGAATTTACTTGAAAAGGCGTCACCTAATTTGTACTAAAAAAATTATCATCATGCAGAGAGTAGGTTTAGCACTATGAATAAGATACACCTGATATATTATTCGCTTATAATATTTGAATACTATTAATGTGAGAAAATGATTGTCACGTATATATTGACTTGAACCAATCAATTATATTCCATTGTGTTGGTTGGGTTTGTTACTTGTTAGGCCATGCGGTAGTTGTCCTCTAATCCAATCAGAGATAAATGCAGATTAATTAGTCAAAGGAACAGTTTGCATTTTCACTTTTTTTTTTTTAAAAAAAAGTTTCTAATAATCAATTTTGTATTTTTCTTCCCCAGTTAATACCAACCTCTAGCGAAACACACGACGAATAATACGTATTAGGGTCAACTTATGTTAATTTTAAGCCAGCTTCCACAATCTGAGTTAGTTATAAATAGTAAACTTGACGTCAAATTAAGTTTCGTGTATAACTTGTGCTAAGTATAAAATAATCAATCTAGTTGATTAACAATTCAACAAACGTTAGTTAGGAGATTTTGATATATTAACTCAAAAAAGAATAAGAAAATATTTAGAGTTGTGAAATTCTTTACTTAATACTTTTGACTTTATCTAACAGTTAAAGCCAAACCAATGAAAAGGAAATCTCATATTATTTCATAGGAAAAACTAGAATGCCGAAATTATTGCACGTCCGATATTGTTAGTTGTTCACATTACAAGAACTAAAACATTTCAATTGTTAGTTTAATACAGACATCCCCGAAGAACATGGAAATGAGTTGGTTTCGATTTGAAACTTTTCTGATTGGAACAGTTGAGAAAGTTCATTTCTCTTTTTTTTTTTTTTTTTTTTTTTTTTTTTTTTTTTTTTTAGTTTAACTATTTTTTTTTTGGCTAAAAGGGCTTTTCTAACATATATTAAACATTACCCGGTAGGGTATAAACAGTAACACTGTTTACCGAGGGGTATACCCCCCGCGCTAGGAACAAAAGTAATACTATACAATCCAAAATTTGTCTTGAGAAAACAGTTCCTGCGATGTCTGCCCAAAAAGCATGAATAGCAAACACCGGAGGAACTGTTGTTACATAAAGTCTATCAAAAAAATTCTTTTTGGCACCCTCCTTTGCCAACAGATCAACTACTTTGCTTCATCTCCCAGTAGTTGTGCTTCACCACCACGTCTCCTAGCCTTAGGATGATTGACCTGCATTCAAAGATAAATGAGTCAAAAACATGGTTTCCGTTGTTGAGCATTCTTATTACCTCAGTAGAATCTGTGTTGATTTCTAGAGGCGTTAACTGTCTTTCTTCAGCAATCCGTAATCCTCTCAGCACCGCGAACAGTTCTGCTTGTGTTTTAGTAGTGTGTTGCAGCTACCCGTGAATCCCAGCACCTAGTTTTCACTTGCGTCTCTGAAAAATCCTCCCACTCCTCCCTTGCCCGGGTTCCCAGCTGCAGCCTCTTCAGTGTTAAGCTTATATTGGTCTCTTGGTGGGGGAATCCATTTGACCCAGATAGTTTTCTCTTTTGTGGGTGCTTTGTCCGCTGAGATAGTGATATACTCAGTCGCTTTTGCCAATGCAACATTTGCAGGGACCATGTCCTTCTTTTTGTTGAAGAGGTTATTATTCCTAGTGATCCAGATCTGCCAAAAGCTAAAGGGGAGAAGGTCTTCCCAAGTGATGATGTTATTGAAAGGCTTTCTTTTGAGAGAGGCCTATGTGGTAGGCCTATCCCGGCTATTGAATGAGATATTATGATTTTGAGCATTAAAGGTACTCTTCGAGATTAAATTTCCCCAGAATGTTTTTGTGTTGGGGCACTCAAAGATAATGTGGGTAGATGTCTAAATGGACTGGTTACAGAAACAACACATTGGGTTCAAATGTATTGTTTACCCTAAAATCGGATAATAATTGAATTTATACGCGGTTTTAAGGATACATGATATAACTTGGAACAAAATAAGAAGATACGTAAATTGATATTGAAATTGAGTGCAAATATAAATAAAAGCAAACCGAAGAAAATGTATAACTTTGGCTCTTGAGCTGGGTTGCCTCGACCAAACGAATATTCTACTGGAAAATAAGAACAAAGTAATAGAGTATTGAGAGCTTAAGAGAAAGATAGTATATTACTTTTTGTAGCGTGAATGTGGTCCTTTTTACAAATGATCAACTCCCCTTTATATAGTAGGGGAGTCCTACCCTTGATATAATTTTAAATACAGTAAGAAATCCCATGATTAGCTAATTAATCGGCCTCTTCTTGATGCGTGCCGAGATTTCCGCCGTGATCCTTGGCCGATTGCGGATATTTCGGCTTTCCATTATTTGGTTCGGTAAGCTTCCCTCGATCTTGCTCGATCTCTATCCTGCCTGGTTTCGATCTTGGCCGACCTCGATCTCGATCGATCTTTGGTTCACGAGCTCGGCAATCTATCTTTACACCACAGTCCGATATAACATGGGATCGAACCTTGACCTGCCACATTCCATGGCAAGCCCGATTTCGACCGTATACAGATAGTCCCCTCCTTTCTCGGAGAGAAGGCAACGAGAAACGATATGAACTTTTCCAATTCCATCTCGATGGGCCATGACGTATGTATTGGGAAAAATTGAGTTTACACATATCGAAGTGATTGAAAAATGACACGTCATGACATGAAGGCTAGTCAAAGAGTGATGATTAGCAAAGAGGCACGAGTTGCAACAGATACGAGCAGAGGCACAAGTAGAGGCACGAGCAGTTATTCAAAAGACTCAACGCTCGTACCTATTTAAATCCAAAAATCAAGGAGAATAAATCTGACAGCACAAGAGAGTACAGATACAGTATTTGATAAGCATTAAATACTAAAAACGTTAGAGAATCTGTATTAAAATACGATGATTATGTAACATAGAATTTAATGCCTTTAATTGTCTGTAATAGTCTTATTATGACAAAGGCAAAACGTATATCTTAGAGATAGCTATAAAAAGGAGAAGACTGGTCATTTGTAAGAACAGGGAATATCAACTGAATATACTGATTTACTTTGTTTTCTACTATCTATCTTATTGTTATCAAAATCAATTTCTTCTGTTCATCTTCGATTATCAGTAACCCGAGTTCTTCTAAAAATAAAGCTTTGACCGAAATTCTATTTTTTGGTTAAACAAATTGGTTCCGTTACCGGGAATCTGATAATCTATTCTTTCTTAGTCTAACCTTTTTTGCATCAACAACCATGTCAAACGTTAATGACAACAACCAAGGAAACCAAGTAAACCAAGGAAATCCTCAACTCCAGGGAAATTCACAAGATGACCGCACCCCGATTCCTTCTCCACAAAGCTCCCCTCGGCGGTCTCGAGAAGGCACTCCTGATGGGTCGCATTCAAATGCAAATGCTCAATTTGAAAACGATGAAGCTATTAATGAATCTTTGCAAAAGCTAATCGCTCAACAGGTCAATAAAGCTCTTGAAGCCTTTGCCAGTCAGTTACCTGTTGCACCACCAACCCCAATTCCAAATACCAACACCTTGGAAAACCCTCGTTCTGGGCTTGCTAATGCAGGCAGTGGTGGAATCCCCAGCGAGTCACGAGATGGAGAACCAGGTAACTTAGTTAATTTCGATTTACAAAATTTAGTTTTAACATTGTAGAAATAGCTCAAGGAGCAAAGTGACCGCATAGAGCAAATATCTGGAGTACCGCCTGTAATCAAAGGAATAGATATGACAAATATTCACATCAACCTTGGAAGCCAAGTGCTGCTCCTCTCCCAATTCCAAAGAAATTCAAAATGCCCGATATTCCAAAATACGATGGAACAACTGATCCACGAGACCACGTGACTACAATCACAACTGGCGTAAAAGGCAACAACTTGACCAAACAAGAAATTGGATCAGTATTGGTCAAAAAATTTGGTGAAACACTCACTAAGGGAGCATTAACATGGTATTCTCTTTTACCCGAAAATTCCATAAATTCTTTTGCTGAGCTTGCAGATTCATTTATCAAAGTACATTCGGTAGCTCAAAAAGTCGAAAAGAGAATGGAGGATATTTTCAAAATCAAACAAGGAGACTCCGAGTTGC